TAGCTGGTACATTGAATCCAGAATATCGAGCACTCAGGGTCTCGTTTTCGCATGCGGTATGCCAGTTCAAGTGCAATCTGGGTCTTCCCAACTCCGCCTAATCCGCAGATAGCAACTTTGCCAGGTCTGTCCTGTTGCACAATCAATTCCTCGGTTCTGGTGATTTCTTCTTCCCGACCTATGAATCGCGGGTTTCTTCCGAAGGGGACCACCCAAACTGGCTGCCTTGATTTATATGATTCCTTCTTGTAGCAGTAAGTGGGAACCACTGACAGAAGAGTCTTCGCGTAGGCAGCAGCAGCAAGCGCCGCATATCCTTGCCACTGTTTATTCTTGTGGGAATCACAGTAGTCACAGATACCTCGAATAGCAAGTGATGGAAGTTCGTCCATGAGCCCAGCAGCCTCCATTTCAAAACAGAGTATATCTAGATCTTGAGCAATAGAATCTCGAGTTTTGGCATCCTTCATGACCTGATCTCCGGAAGCGATTAAGCCATAATGAAAATAAGGGCCATCAGTTATTCGCTCTGGACGGTTCACTAGCTGGCTGTGATCACATGCTGAACAATTGTATCCGCTATCCTTATGATTGTATGTCGGTCGGAATAGCCAGTCATCTTTCGGTCGCGAATATTTTTCTTTCATCTCTTCACAGTTGTGCTGTATATCAATCAAGATCTTACTAACCGGCCTTTTCCCTGTCATATAATCACTCTCTAATTGAGACATAGCTTTCAACAACACCGACGGCGGTTTATTAAGAGACCCGGCATGCTGCAATCGTCCATCACGAAGCATCTTGCCGTAGTCATATTGGATAACACCACCTGAAGTGGCAGTTGGTTTGCTGATTACAACATCACCAAGGCGAATATCAGCACTTTGGCTCGGGACTCCGCCACCAATACCCACCATCAACCCAAATCGGATATTCGGATAAGTAGAAACCATGTGTGACACCACACTTGAGGCAGATATGGTTCCGTACACACCGGAAGGCAGGGGGGCCACCACTATATTGTGGCTGCTAACCCTCCCAAGTGTGTAGACATTGTGGTCAGTTTCTGGCTGGGGGAGAGGAGGGTGAACCTCGTCCAACATGGCCTTCGCGGCAGCCATTTCCAGCGGCAAGGCGCAGATCCATGCGACCGTATAGTCATCACGTGTGAAAACCATTTTATATGCCATGTATAATAAAGAGGTGAATTTCGGCGAGAAGGAATAATATAGTCTTTACTAGAGAAAAAGAGTATGTCCTACTGTAGCTATTAGAACTGCAGGATAAAATAAAAGGCATGTTAAACATCGAGGTTGGGAAATGCGGGGTCATCTGGTACGTGTTGCTGTGAGACTGTCGTGGTCCAAAAGCCAATCATAGTCTTGAGAATATGTATTTAGGTAAAAAGCAAACAGAGGAAGTGATGTATATCAACAGCACCCAAGCAACAACCCCAGTTTCTCAAGATGGCCAACTTCCAAGGTCCCATCAACTGCCTGAGACGGATATGTTGCTAGTCATAGTGATTAAAGCGAAAAGCACAAAAAGAAAAAAAAAAAAATAGAAGTCTAAGGCACTGTATAATTTTAAGAGGTTTTGAGAGGGTATACCTTCTATGCTCTCTTCGGAATCGGGATAAATACATCCGTCTTAACACGCCAAGGTTTACTAGGGGCTACTAGCTCAAGGAACTGGCACGAAGCCTGCAAAGCGGTGGAATCACATGACCTTACACCACCTAAATTACTTAGATTATTGAAAAGATTATACTATACTATTTATACTATCTAGATTATCTACCCTAGTAGAATAGGCTCTGCAGGTATTGTAGTGTGTTTAAATAATCTAGATATCTAGGCATTGCAGCGCGTTCAAAAGCTCTAGAAATCGGTTAGATTACTGGAGATTAACTGCGCAGATTACCTAAACAGGCTTGAAATGATTATAGTTATAACTTATAAGTCAAAACAGGAATGACGTAACTCATGAATCCTCGCCCAATCAGAACCCAGAACTGCGGACCAATCAGAATACATATCCGATTGAGCAGTCTCGTATATTGCTTGCTACGCTTCGCTCCGCTGCGCAATAGATTACGCCAGAGCAATTGCACTAAAGTTAATTCAATCATACCATCTAAAGGTAATATCGTACTGGAGCTCAATTTCAAAATATTCTATTGATACCAGCATATACCATCACACTATACTTCTAAAAATCTGGATAAGAAGCCCGCTCCGCATTGATACGTCTCATACGCTCCTCATCCATATACCACCTGGACCTGGTCTCCTTAAGTAGCTGTCGTGGGGATTTGCCTGCAGCATTCGGTTGATCCATCAAGCTGCTGCCTCCAGCCTCCAACAAGATTGCAATCACCTCTTCGTGTAATTTTATCCGTTCATCTGGTGTAGTACGCTCTGTTTTCCCTTCTCGAGTCAGGCGAGCGAAGTAGACCCCTGTCATCGTCGCTGTATGGAGTGGCGTGTTCCCTTGTGAATCTCTGGCATTGACATCCGCGCCCCGGCTGATCAGAAAGCTAGTGGCGTTAACCTGCCGCAGATTCTTTGCCATCAAATGTAGGACAGTACTGCCATCTATATCGGCATGATTAATACCTGCCCCATGCGACAACATGAGATCTAACAGGGCAGGATTCATGGGGTCACCTGCGTGGGAGGCCAGAGCCAATTCATGGAGTACGGTCTTTCCATCGGTGTCTGCCAAACTTGCATCCGCCCCGTGTTCGCATAGAAAACGGGCCAGGATATAGGAATGCGAGCTGATGCACTTGGCATGAGCACTGACTGCGTAAAATAAGGCGGTTCGTCCCAAGTTGTCCTGGATGTTAACGGTGCTCTGCTTGCCTTCCAAGAGCAGCTTGAATGTATCGACAATCCGGGGAAGAACTTCATTCTCCAGTAACATGTCTTCGGCCAACGGGTCGGGTCCCATAGCAGCCCAATGCAGTGGTAGTCGTCCATCGCTATCACGTATCGATACCATATCTGCAATGTCAGCATTGCTGCCTCGATGGTCTAGCAAGGCTCGAATCCCCGGAGCGTTCCAAAAAAGGCCCCCACGGTGAAGAGCGGTGACATCTCGAGGCAGGTCTGAACCCCCATAATTATTCATTTGGTTCAGGGGCATTTGTCTTCGGTGTACATCAGCCCCTGCATTAATCAGACGTGCCACCAACTGATAACTGGCCTAGGTAATGGCCAAGCCGATAACGGTCTCTGAAGCTTGCGGAAGGTCTTGTTTATCTGACCGGGACAATGTGACATCACGCGCAGAAGCGCCCCTGTCCAGGAGGAGATGAATCAAAGCCTCACTCCGTGCAACACTGTCGCGAACCCAGCTCCGCTCAGGAAATTGACACCGCTCCCAATCGAACCCGACATCGGAAAGGGAGGTGGCCGCAGACAGAAGTGCTGTCTCACACAAACCATCCCCAGGTTCAACCGTCCCCAGCGGTGGCTGGCTGTCCAACAGGAAGCGCACTGTGTCAAGCTGAGCAAGCCGACAAGCTATTCCCAACAACGAGATTCCTCCCTGTTCGAGTGATTCTGTGTCAGGGGAATCGATATGCGTGTGATAATGGTCCAGAAGCACACGAAGCGTATCGAGACTTCCATACTCGCAAGCGATAAAAATTACGTCCATGTCTAGTGATTCGGAGGAATACAGTCCGGCCTTCGGATGTATCTCGATATATTGTCGTACCATCCATTTATCATTCGCCTTAACCATTTCAGCCAGAAGTTCCCCATACTCGGTCTCATACATTTTGGAACCGTCTGTATCGAGCAGTATAGCATCGTATCCATCTCCTCGAAGGGTGTGGAATGCGGGGTACGACATTGTTTAAATTTTCGCAATTTCCCTTTTCCTGAATGTTAAATTCGGGAGAAAAGAAGTGTTGAGGGTAGTTGTTAGCCACAGAAAAAAAGGAGAGAGAGATTCAACGAGAGGATAGAGCGAAGTATTTATCTTTGGGAGAGCATTTCGCCTGTTCTTGGCCCCACTTGCAAACTATCAAAAACTAGTGCCGGTTACAATACGATACGAATCAAGACATTCGGAGGGTCAGGTGCGTAGAGAGTTTTCCAAGCTCCAGTGTTTCTTCTTTTCACACTCTCTCATACTAAGAACTGTCACTTCGTTCCATGCGATCAATGCATCAGGTGATTATGTACAGAAAATACGCTACTAAACCGTTACTATTGAAATTACAGGTGAGATACGAGACGTAGGTGAAGTCTGTACTCTTTTACAGATACGAGCCACTCACTGTGGTAGTCGTGGCGCCCGAGAGCCATCTGGCATCCAATTCTCGTCAAATGCACCAGGTTCGGGATGGAAGTAATCCGCGGCATTGATTAGAACTTGAAAGCCGGAATCACGCGTCGGTAGGTTCGGAAATATTCTGCGTAAGTTCCTTTCCGAGAAAATACCTTGTTGGTGCATCCAGAGGCCCTGTATTTGTTTTGGAGATGAAGTCAGCCATCGTCAACTAAGCAAACCAACTGGTCAACTAGATAGAGAGAGGGGGAGCCCTTACAAAACTATTCAGTAACTCGGCATAACCAGTGGGCAACGAAGTGCCTGCCTCGAGCTCTCGAATAGCATCTGCCCGGCCCACACCTACATACCACCGTCGATTGCCATTGATAGGGCAAGCGATGGCGGCACTGCGTGCATTATAATTCTGCAGGTCGCCGTTATTGAAGCTCCCTCTGGCGTACGAGCTTGTGTATTGATACTGGGCCCGGAAATCAGCTCGGCGACCGCGAGTGACGACCGAAGGCCGTGTGATAGTCTGGCTATGATAGACATCCAACGTAGTGACTCCTGGGACCCAGGTGTCCGCTCTTTCGTAGAAAGTCCGTCGATTGAGTTGGATATGGAGATGGAAAACGATCCAGCGGTCAGTGCCGTGCGTGTGGCTTTATCGCGATAGCGGTTCCGGATCTCGTCGGTAGGCGTGACCCCTGGTGTACTTCCGATACAGAAAGCTATCTCAAGTATCACCTGGCGGCCTTGAGCATTAATCCACCTCAAATAGTGAAGGCTCAGTTCACCCTGGTAGCATCAGTGGGAATTAGTGACCACGAAAACAAAATAGAGGGAAGTAAACTCACGTTCAGAATACCATTGATAATCAATGAGATTGTCGGCTGGTTGCCGTTAGCAGAACAATCGTCCATGCTTAACACAGTCACAGCTCGCGTGGAAAGAGCTGATGATCTGGCCGGCTCATAATCCCCATCCAAACAGAGGACGTCAGTAGCGGCGACCAGTCTTTGTATCCCTTTCGAGGACTCGGCAATGTTGCAAAGAGTTTGAACCAACAAGGGGTTTGGACTATATAGTGGAGTTCCGGTCCAACTGTCCACAGCGCCGTAGATGCCTGCTTCTATGGTGGTGACATTGGCGGCCTCATTCTTGTACCCGTACTCAGTGGTACGATTCTTCCAGATCCGGCTCAGGTCTTCTCGCGGAAATTGAGAGGTAATCCATACCGCCATGATAGGCAGCAGATACGTGAGGACCGTACCCTGGTCTGTGGGCTTCTCGGGTGAGCTAAGGTCTCTCCTGGCAAAGCTGCTGAAGCTCGCGCTATACTCGGAGGCTCAACCACTGGGGCAGACGGGATTCGCAAGGAATCGGGTCAGGTAAGCATCGAAATCTCTGGCGGTCTGGTCTGCATATATAGTAGTGTCCGTATCTCGTGGGGTCTTCGTTGACTTCTTCGCGCCAGAGCAACAATATGCCTCATTGCCGTACAAACAATCTTCCGTATTTGCTGTCTGCTTCTTCCCCCACATAGTGTTGATTACCTGCTCGGCAACGCGGGTCGAGCCCGCTGGACAGTTGGTGCTGCAATACTTTTCATTCGGAAAAGTCACCCCGTGGCCATGCCAATCGCAGTTGGTAAAGATATCTGGAGGGCCAGTGTCACCTTTGCAGCAGTAGTTGTAATTCGTTCCGGACTTGCATGACTTCCGGCCACCCCAGCCATCACGCGAGCCCACTACAAAATTGGCATAACCCGCTGGACATGTCAGATCATCGTGGCAGCTTTCAGTCCACTGACATTCTGTCCAAGGGTGGAGCGGAGTCTGCGATGGTACAGCACGCCGACTGATAGCCAGATTTGCAACCCGCCCCGACAGTTCCGATCTCAGCCTCGTCGCTGTTGCATCCTCCCTTACATTTACCATTGTTATGAAAGCCTCGCCACCGGCAAGTTGGGGCCTCTGTGGAGGTGGGACAGCAGAGTGTTTGTGTCTGGCTTTTGCCTGGTGGACATGTCGTTGAGTCCAACATGAGGTCCTTCTTCTTGTCGGCCCAAGCGACTTCAGTGAACCCGCTGGGACAGACCTCACCGCAGTTAGTGAAGCGACAGTACTGGTCTTGGCTTTTGTCATTGTTCCTAGTTGTCGACTTCCTCTGGCCGAAGCTGCTGCTCGTCAGGCCGCTTGTAGTGTCCACGTTAATTTTATTCCGAGAGCTGCCGCCAGACCAGTGGAGTATGTGTGATTGCTGTCATCATTATCGACGGACCAAACCAGGACACCACCGAGACATTGGGACTTAGCGAACTCGGCCTTGAGCTTCCAGATGTCCTCGTCATCATACGACACCCATTGGTCGTTGTTCCAGGTGATCGTCTTCACAGCCGCATCCTTGTAAAGGATCGGGGTAATTTCATTTTCGTTGATAATCTGGCTAATCTCATTGTTGAAGAGGACCCCGGCCGTAATGCTTCATTCGCGCTTGTCGCCGGCTGAGAGATAGGTGCAACTCGGCTTGGTACAGGACGGGCTGGCCAGAGTGACACTGCGGCCGTAGAAAGCCATTCCCATGTTTACCTTGGACGGTTTAATATCATTCCGCCACAGGAGGTCAAGGGCGGTCTTAATCTCCGTCAAGTTGGTATGTGCATCTAGGTAGGCCCCGGTCCACTTGTTACCCATGTCCCATGTACCGTGCAGGTCATAGCTCATAAAGTTGAACCAGTCAACTGACCTTGTCTAGTGATTCAAGATCAAAATACTGGAGATACCAGTAGCTGGTGGGTAGTGTGACGGAGAGGCCGAACTGGTAATTGGACATGGCCTTTTTCAAATTGGACATGAACTTGGGGAAATTCTTGTAATCCGAGGATCGGCCATTCCGGTCATCAGCGGCGGGATATTCCCAGTCGATATCGACGCCAGTAAAGCCCCAGGTGGCCATAAAGTTGGTCAGTGACGAGAAGAACACATTTTGCTTCTTTGTGTCGGCGCCTACAAGGTCCGAGAAGGTAGTGACCATTGGTTGTCCATCATCAGAGAAATCCCAGCCACCGATGGAGAGCCAAAGCTCTTGACCAAGGTCCCGGGCCTGGAGGGCCTCCAGTTGCGGATAGAGCTGCTTATCTCCCTGGACAGCTGGAATGACCTCAAAGGTGTCCGGATCGATACTTACAAAGCGAAGTAGATATGCGAGTAGACACCCTGTGGGATAGCTTCGGGGATCATACCTCCGCAAGACCGTGTGGCAGCTGCTGAGTTGTAATAACCAATTACGCGAGCGACGTGCTGGTCGCTGGCATCACACGACGGTCTGGTAACTGTTTTGTTCCCGCAGAACTCTTCAGTGGTTCCACAAAAGCCAAAGTCGCTGCAGCACACATTCAGTGGACATGTGGTGGCATTAACGTATTTATCTGCCCAATGCCCGGGATTGCACTCGGCTTTGGCACCACAGTTACTGATACACTTGTCTTCAGCGCAGTAATCTGGACCGAGGCCACAGACATTGTTTCTGCCACAGCAGCCGATCTCACAGGGGACGTCAGTGCTACAGTATGTGTCTGCAATTGCCGCCGTAACGAAGCCTAGGCCAGCGAGAAGGGCCAAGGCAATGCGTGGCAACATTTGTCCTGGCAACCAAGAGTGTCAGTCTGGAGGTTGCACAATTAAAACCCAATTGCACTCACGATTTGAAGCTTGACGGGCTACTACTACTCCCAATTGTCTTGAAATAGAAGCTCGGATGAGGAAAGACCGCACACAGGGGAAGCAAAAAGAAAGACGAAGAGGATGAATGGGGAAACGAAAGAATAATGAAGGACATAAAAGGAAGTCAAATGAAATGAATGAATCAACACCCTGGGATCAAACTACTGCCGTATGCGGCGGCATTCCACAAGATATATATCTTCAAGTGCTCGATAGCATGCGGTCTACCCGATACAGTGCGGAATGCCTTGTATACGTGCTTTTATCTCAGACTCGGGTCAAAATCCAGAGACTAGGCCGGTATGCGGTTAGCCCATAGTTCTACAATGTGCATCTGCGTCGGGCATATCGCCTCCTCACCCCATCTGACTTTCCTCGAGGTACTCTCGTAACTTAGCTTGTTCTGGCAATTCGACCGTTCCTGCAGCATGTTAGTTCAACAAACCTATACTAACCGGTCAGGGCACTATCTCATTTGGTGTCAACGAATCCCCTATTTCAGGCATTTACCTACCTATTCGTATTAATACCTGGAAGTAGCGGAGCCCCATCATCTAGTCAAAACTACGGGGAAATTGCTATAGGGTTCATTCTTTGGCCCCCAGAATGCAATCTTCGTCGGACCTCAGGATAGATGGTTAAGCGTTGGAATGGGATGAAGTTTGCGCATCTAAATAGACTAGCGCTCCAAGCGACCGATCACTAGTTTGTGGGACTCGACATGGTTTAATTGTCATTAGTTCAATAGGTGGAGCGTTTGCTTGTAGAAAGTTACCTCGACAATCCCGTAACTTCCGACCCCTTGCGCCACCCAATGAGTGATTCTCTTCGATTCTTGTTCTCAGTACTGTGACATGGTCCAGGATTACAGTGTGTTATTTAAAATTTGGAACATCTTGCACTAAGCACCGTTCTTACCGCCTAAGGAAGAGCCGGTGAATAGTGATGTGTAGATTTTATATGGCTAGAAACTGCGTATAACAGTAGGCGGTTGACAATTGATACGCCATACCGTACTAGAGTGTTCCAGATTTGGAATCGCTCCCGACTGTACTCTGTAGTAGGTGATACTTGATACTATAAGCCTATATCCCTACAGTCCGCACCGTCTGTTCCTAACGAGACGAATTTTGTGGCCGCCACTTATTTTCCCCACTTAGCTTGTCATGCTTTTTTCTATGGTTACATTCGCTAAAGAAAATAAATATGGGAAATCAGTAGTGCAATTTAATAAGCCTATTAGGGTCGTTGGGGAAGCCCTCTTTGATGCTGTCGTCCACATAAAAGTCGTCACTGTTGATCAGTCGGGTGGGCACCGTGGGAGGCGCCGCTGACCTGCGCGATCCTAGGCCAGGAGGCCGCGGTCTCGTCCCACAACGAATTCTGCAGAGACCGACGGGGCACCGCGATATATACAGATGGCAGCGGATTCTTGGGCCACATCGGTGCCTCGGCGGTCTGCCTGCAAACTGGCAAGATGCAACGGAGGTTCTTGGGCATCGAGGCCGAATCCACAGTGTACGCGGCGGAGCCTACGGGGGCTGCAGATGGCTCTGGTCATGGCCGCCAGCTGCCGACGGCAGGTAGCGGTTTTCGCGGACAGCCAGGCGGCGATCAGAGCGGTGCAGAACCCCGGCAGGCCCTCGGGTCAGTTCCTACTTCGGCAGATCTACGCGGTGGCCCGCCGGTGCGATCTGACCCGCCGGATCGGAATCCACTGGATTTCCGCACATATCGGGGTGCCGGGAAACGAGCGGGCCGACGAGGCCGCGAAAGAAGCAGCGACGGACCCACACCTGCGGCGGCGCGACGGCCCGGTCCGTCTCAAGATACGCAAACGATGAGAGGACGAATGGGCACGGGACGCAAAAACCGCCCGACCGACCGTGACCCCGACGCACCGGTTGTTGAAAGGACCGGATAGGAAGGTCTTTCGGCTCTGGAAGGGCCTCTCCAAGCCGCACACCGCGATCGCCATCCAGATGCGCACGCACCGGATAGGGCTTCACCACTTCTTATACAAGATTAACATGGAGTCGTCGGATCGGTGTAGCTGCGAAGAGGGCTCCCAGACGTCGAGGCACGTCCGTCAGCAGTGTCCGCTGTACACCGATCTGCGCGAAGCCATGCTTGATAAGATTAATAGGGTCAGGGGGCTACGCGGCCAGACCGCAGACTACAACGTACTAATATCTTACCCGCAGGCAATTCGTTACGTTGCCGAGTTTGTACACAAAACAGGTCTGCTCAGTCAGTTCCGAGAGGCGGAGCTGACTGCGCAGGACACAGAACCAACCACTGAAACAAATGGAGCAGAGGGGGAAGACGCTGGTTAAGCGGTCACAGGGAGGCTGGGCAGGGTCAGCCCAGACCAGTGGTGTATAAATATATCGAACTACAAGGTGAACAGAATGTGAACAAGACGCAGAGGATAGTTAAAGGATTAGGAGAGGTGCTGTGGCAGGCACGTTAGTTGTGATTTAAAAGTTTTTCGATTATTATCTTCTCTATATATATATGGGTTTGCGGGATTTAGGTGCTCTGGACCAGAATTCTGTCTTACCGGTGAGGCGCTGCACAGCTAGACATTTCATTGGTTAGGCTCGAACAGGTTAATATAATTTTGATTGATTGATTGATTGGATCGGTCGAGAGCTTTGGCCTCTCTGGGGTTTCCTGTTAATCAGCCAAGAAACCAGACGCAGTATTCCTCAGAGGCGTATACACTTTTGATAAGACTGAAGGAAAGAGAGGATATATCGTGGTCAGAGATTGCCGAATGCTCTCAGGTCGAAGCGTATAATCGCTTCAAGGCCACTATGCAACCAGACTAAGGCACACGATTTACTGTTTGTCAAAGAAAGCGGTAAAAGGGGGTTAATATGTATTGTAATAGTAATAACGTAATGATTGGTCGAGGTACGACTTCAACGACACATCACCACCTGCAGAAAGACCCCGCATTGCTCCATGATCTTATCTGACTCTAGACCAACTTTTGTCTGTGGTCTTTCGAAACTGACCACATCAGAAAGTTGTTTATGTTAACTGCCCACTATCCCCGAACAAACAAACATAGCTTTATCCATTAGGACCTACGAAGCAGCGTTTGGTCTTGAGGTCGAGCCTCGGACGCGACATCCTCAAACCGACGATCGACCCCCTCCATCCTATGACGACGCTGTCAAAGACTTGCCTCCGGATTACTCCACGCTTCCGCTGTTAGCCAAACAGAAAGATTTGTGTGGTGACTGCACGCTATCGATAGAAACGAAAGGTTCCAGTGTTAGATCTAAGTCCCCTCTGGTCAATTTGGATTACTCATCTGGTATACGGGAAAATGCAAAGAAAAAGATGAAATTAAATAAAGCCGCACAACGGAGTACCCCACCACGGAAAGACGACGGCGATAAAATCCCACCCCCTGATGAAAACCAGAATGGTGGAGGCGGTGGCAGCAACGCAGGTGGGTCGGGAGGTGGAAATGGGGATAACAGTGGTGACGGAGGCGGCGATGGCGGAGACGACGATGGTTGGGGAGATGCGTGGTATACAACCAGTAAGAAAAAAGATAAGAAGAAGAAGAAAGAGGAGGAAGAGCGGCTAGCTAAAGAAGAAGAGGAGCGGAAGGCCAAAGAGGAGGAGGAGAAAAAGGCCGCAGAAGAAGCAGCAGCAGCTAATAGTAATAACGATAATCTTAGTTGGGCGAACGATAGTAGTGGAAACGGTGATGATTCGTGGGCGGACTTTGCACCTACAGGGAAGAAGAAGAATAAAAAGAAGGATCAAGTATAAACCCCTCCTTTGTTCTAGAGTCTCATCTCTAATTTCTTTATAGGGTACTACTATGACTGACACCGACCCCCCTTCCAATTGCTTTCAGGATTTAAGTTCTAATACATCTCCAAATCTAAACCTAGACCCCCTTAGAGGCAAATCTACTGGTGGGAGCCTAGATCTTGGCGGATGTGATAAAAGTTGGAATATGAGGAGTAAATGGGGTCTCGACTCTCATGGTGGCTTGAATAGGGACAGGACACAGAATACCAACCCGTGGTCATTTGGCTCAGCGACTGATCCGTTGGATGCTTCAGTCGGATTTGGATTTGGCTTTGGAGCCCGTCCAAGCAATGGAGATATCGGTACAAAAGAAAAGAAGGATGACTGGGGCTTTCTGGATACTAAGAAGGAGACCGAAACAAAGCCCAGAATAGTTGATGACGAAGATTGGGACTGGGGCGTCCCAACTGAGAAAAAAGATAAGAAAAAAAAGAACAAGGATATCCTCCAGGAGTTGGAACGAGTTGTGGAAAATCCTCCGGTAGCCGTAGATCCATCACCCGAGCCAATCCCTGAAGAGAAGGAGGAGGAGGACTGGGCAGCCTGGAATATCTCCACAAAGGAGAAGAAAAAAAAAGGTCGAAGACTGTTGTTCCCGAGCCTCAGTCGCCTATTCCAGAGCCTGAAGCACCCGAACTATCAGCAGAGCTTGAATCTGAGCCAGTACATGTGCTCGAGCTCGAGCCCGAACCGGAAGCAATATCAGGGCCTCAATTGCTTGAAGGGCAGCAGAAAGCCGGAGAGGAGAACAAAACCACAGAAGAAGCCGTTACCAGCGGTGAAGGAAATCATCACGGGCCCTATTATGGTAAGAGAAAGGGAACGGTGGCCCGGCCAAAAAATGCGAAGAGGTCTATTAGTATGCCAGTGGAGTCAGCTATTGTCTCCAGGGCGTATGCCCAAGATACACTCATGGCTGGCGAGGACAATATACAATCTGACTCCAGGAGCGATCCCGAATATCAGCCCGTCCATCTATTCTATAGTATTCAAAAGTACATTCTCATTGATATGGTCGATTCCAGGGATTACGAAGGGCAGACGGTGACAGTCCACGTTGGTCTTAGCAGAAGATGTTACACAATCTCAATGTCTTTGCTCGATAGGATTCCGAGTCTATATTCTCTCTTGAAGACCAATCCAGCTCCAGAGACACATAATTTCTTTATCAGCCTCACGCTCCCTGATGTGGATGAGAATATTGGGCACACTTTGATGCATTACCTTTACACCGGGGATTTCCAACTACGAAAAGCATCATCTACTTGCGACGTATCTAAACAACACGAGTATTATAGCCAGAGCGTCCTGGCATACTGTGCGGCCCTGAAATACGGGCTATGCGGGCTGCAAGATCAGGCGAAGAGATTTATGGAAGTGTTGGGTCCAAGTGTTTACATTCACGACATTATTAATCTGACCAGGACAGTCTACAGGACAGTTAAAGACGATCAATGGTATTTCGAGCACCTCACGATAAGAATCCAGGCAGCTTTCGACGCAGATGAAATGATATTTATGGAGGAAAAGTTTATTGATGGATTTGATGAAACTTCACCGCTTAACAAAGTTTCTTGTGAGGACCATGACACACGCGTACCACACCAAATTATGCTCCCTACGATGAAACTGTCAGCAACTGGTAATACCGTAATACAACCCTCACATACTGTGCGGAGCTTATGACAGTATTTTTACATTGGATAAAGTCTTTTGGGAGTTTATGTGAGCAAGAGAACGCTCTCAATTGTTGTTCATTCTGTTCCAATTCCAATCTATTTTCACTTAGGTTCCTGAACTTCCTTGATCTTCCTAGTACTATACACCTTGTAGCCCGTTGGCCTACTACGCTTCGAAGGCGTTAACTACCGCCCGCCCGATTACGTATGCCGAAGAAGCCCTTTACAGAAACATTTCCCTGTCATGAAAAATAAGTTGTCTTCGTTGCCTACGCTTCTTAATTTCACCTCGGCATTTGCAGGTTTCAGGTCTACTCTCCACGAAGAGATTTTACCTCTCATTTCTCCATTGACATATTCTCATATTTACCCGAGACAGGTAAGTTGCTAGTCATAGTAAAGGGAGAAAAAATACTAGACACCTAAGGCACTGGGTAATTGTTTTGCAACACGCCTCCAATACTATTAGGCTGCCACTCAGAAACACATACTACACTGCATTATACCACTGCCCCTTACTCAGACCGGAACACATTCTTTTTTTTTCCTGCTGCACGTAGATTTTTATGGCGGTCTTGAGCAGCTCTTGACAACGCCACACTCTAAACAATCCGAAGCTTCGTACTATCACCTGCAATCACCTATTAAACCAACGAGTAGATTATGGTCTACATGCCTTACATGACAGCACATACATGATGTAGCAACTAGTGACGCTTAAGACCGATCATTGTTCCAAAACTTCACTCTATATGACTTTCAACTGATTCTCCACGGTCAGCTGACAAGCCAGCAACCTATTTAGTCATAGTGTTACTGTTACTGATACTGCCGTGATTGGCTCGGATGAATCTCATCACCATCTCTAGACTTACGCACATACTATCCGACAACTAGTGACTGTATTGTTCAACTCCTAAACAGCAGTGTTGACTAAAGCAAGGTCTCTGAATACTAGATATCTGGGCCCCGATTACTCCTCCCGCTTTTAAATGTTGGGATCAATGGAAATGTCTCTCATTTGCACGACTTCAGATTGACTAGAAAGCCTTGGCAAGTCTAGTGACTGTATTTATTCTAATGAAAGAATACATTACCCGACTTCCATGATCAGCTGGCTCAAAATATGTACAATAAACCCCTGTCAGTGCGTCTCTTTGCCTTGACTCGACCCGAATGGTGCCTCTTTGATTACGCCCTACCCCGCGGCTTCTTCAGTGGATGACTAGTAATAACTCTCCGGTTGATAAAGCACTGTTCTTCAGGACTGAGTGAAGTCGGAAGCATGAAGTTGAGCGGAGGAGAGAAAAAGAAGAATGTGAGTGAAAGGTTAGAGTTGCACGCGGGTCGGGTATTTAATAGGCCTCCCCGCACCCGACCCAAAACCCGCTAGGTTTATGTTACAGACCCTTGTCTAGTGCACCATATCGAGGGCGGACACGCAAGGCAGAATATCATAGGATAACAAGAACCGGAAAATGACAACGGGATCACCAAAGGATGGCTATAGTGAGTATCCGACGAAACGGCTAATGAAAAGCCAATACCAGCTTCATCACGTGACACTTACACCTAAATCCACCCCAGAGGGAGTATACCAGGAGTATACGGCACTACGCGCTGCGATTGGATATACTCCATTCCCTACCCCCAAGGGAGTCACGACGGGAGTAGATAGCTAAGGATATGTAAGGACACGCGTTTATGTACTTAGTTCTTCGTAATCAATCCACATTGTTATCACAGAGTTACCTTTAGTAGCAAGACCAGTCTCAACTCGTTCGTACTTTAACTACTGGGTATACGTACTCAATAGGTCTGGCCCTTTGGACTTGAGACTGGTACCGACGGCAGTCTAATATCGACGGCAGACCCCTGGCGACGGCAGTCCAGTAACAACTCCCGTCCTGCCAAGACCGCAATCCATTGACGACGGAAGTCAAAGATCGACTTCAGGTTAGTAACCCTTGACGCGTGGTCCGCTAACTGGTCTCAGACTCGACGACGAAGCCTCGGGCGTAACAGGAAGAACGAGATCAGGGTATAAGGCCTGGGCTCTAGGTAAGAATATGTGCACATCGGATTCTATGCAAACGGGAATCTAATTATTTCCTCTCCTTACTACTCACTGAGCACTAATTTTAATTATAAAGACCCGAAATTTCCTCTACGGAATCCAAGAAATTAAGAGACTACTATAAATTCTTAAAATGTCGGTGGATAGAGACTCCGATGTTGCCGCTCGGCAGCCGAGTTACATATTCACGAGGGTAGGGTATTCTGCACAGTCATCATATATAATCACGATAAGATCTGTGACAATACTAGCTTAGCCGGGGAACTCCCGAATTTTAATATAGTAGAGCCTGTTTAGTTCTAATTAAAACATTGTATAACCTCGTGAGACGGCCCAGGAAATAGAAAGATTGGTAATCTAACCTGGTTTAAAGGCTAGAATTAGCTACCTCAGAAGACAATACAGCGCTAAAACAAATAATTGTCACTCTGTATTCTCGGAAATTTATCTAGAAAAAAGAAATGAGTGTAAGAAAGGATATTAGAAAGCGTAGAATAGGAGGGCTATGTCTGAAAGAAAAGTTCAGTAAATACCAGAATCTGGATCAAAGGCCGCTATTCTAAGCGCACAGATAATATTATTCTCGATTAAGATAGCTGTATCTTTAGTGTTAAGCGTCCCTCCTCCTAAGTCGTATAGTAACGTACCGTGCCGGCTTAATATCAAGCTTACACTAGTGAACATGCTTCCGTAGTTGTCTGTACAATTGAACTCTCTAGACATCTCTAGAAGCATAGGTCGACCTCAAACTTGGATTCGCTCGCCGGATAATCTTCATTACCTTCCCTGGCATATTGTGGCCAGAATCTGGGCCCCGTCGTGGTGGTGAACAGAATCATCTCGGATAGACAGGCGATCAACAAAGGGACTGGGATGTACGCTGACTATGCCCCCGAAATTATCTAGAATCCGTCTATTCAATCTGACTCAGTGTAAAACAGCTCTCCAGTTGATCATCCATTCGATACCCTAGATCACTGGAATATACAATTTTTCTATACATTCCATATACCAGTTATGCCATGGCCCAAAGGTACTTAAACCTCGCAATTGCCAGCCATCATGGCTATTATCAAAATCATCATTCTCTCCAATTGAATATCGTATCACTTTTCATCCCAATCAGTCTATCATTTTCTGAGTTATAAAGCAACTCTGATTTTCAAAATGAAGTTCTCCATCTCATCTGCTTTGCTGATCACTGCTACTATTTTCTCCGTTGGTAATGCTGCTCCCCCAAATCTCCCAGCGCCATGTTTGGAGATCCCTCAGGCCCTCAGTCAGCAGCCCACCAGAATGATGCAATACTTTAATGCACAGGTCTGTGAGAATGCCCGGTGTGTTAGCACAATCAACGAGTACAACCAGTATCTCCACAACAACATCGTCCCGCAACTCATCCAGGACGTAAACAACAACCTGGGTGTATCTGCCAATGAGCAGGCGTTGCTTAACCAATTCCGCACTCAGCTGGTCGCAGTAGTGCAGCAGAGCTGCGCAGCTGAAGGAAATAGGCCTCTGTGCAACAACCCGGAAGGACTGCTTAATTATAATACCTGTGTTACCAGAGCCACCCAGCCGATTCTGGAGCAGCAAGCCAACCAGCTATCCAACACAGCTCAGCTTACCAACGAGAAGTGCCAGAAGATCAAACAGCTCATCTCTGACGAGACGATGTGGTCCAAGAATCTTCCTGGATACATTGACCAATTCGCTGCCATGTGCAAGAAGGGCAACTAGAAGTGAGTATACTAGTCAAGCACACCGTTTCGGCCACTATCATTGCTAATTCGGTGCAGTTAGCCGTACTTTCATCAACGCTCCAGTCTAAAAGCAGCGTTCAGAGCCCTTGAGCCGCAACGTTATAGGTCCGAAGTCTACGTGGATTGTTCCTGCGGGGTGTTTACCCAGATCTTTTGTTCATCATTTATATGTATCGTGCCACTCCTTAGGATGCTTGCAAGCACAATGATTGAAATTCAAACAGTTTTAAATTGTCTGTCTCTACTTAGGAAGGCCTCGTAAGCGTGTCGCTTTGTTCTGTTACAATGAGGACAATGGGGGCATGCATAGGTGCTATAATCAAACAAGATTAATGTGGTTGAGTTGGATCGGTGTAGCTGCGAAGAGGGCTCCCAGACGTTGAGGCATGTCCTTCAGCAGTGTCCGCTGTACACCGATCTGCGCGCAACCATGCTCGATAGGATTAATAGGATCAGGGGGCCACGCGGCCAGACCGCAGACTACGACGTACTAATATCTCACCCGCAGGCAATTCGTTACGTTGCCGAGTTTGTACACAAAACAGGTCTACTCAGTCAGTTCCGAGAGGCGGAGCTGACTGCCCAGGACACAGAACCAACTACTGAAACGAATGGAGCAGAGGGGGAAGGCGCTGGTTAAGCGGTCACATGAGGGGCTAGGGGGGTCAACCTAGGTCTGAGGTTTCCAACGACACAGTACTAATATACGGTGAACAGAATGGGGTACAAGACGCAGAGGGATGGTCAAAGGGGAAGATCGCGCGTTGTGGCACGCGCTTTAGTTGTGATTAAAAGCTTTTCGATTGTTATCTTCTCTATATATATGGGTTTGCGGGATTTAGGCGTTCTGGACCAAGATTCTGTCTCACCGGCGAGGCGCCTGCATAGCTAGACATTTCATTAGTTAGGCTCGAACAGGTTAATAGAATTTTGATTGATTGATTGATTGATACATAAACCAGATTAAGTACAGGTTTAATCTAGCCGCAGGAAAAGGCTTAGTAAATCATCTTCTCTCGAAAAACCTTTTTAATGCCCATCTTTTACCGCCTGTCACAGGTTCGGAGTCTAATTTTATCTGCTCGGGACGATTATTGTGGATAGGCAAGACAGGAGGGGTTGCGGCTGAAGTCTGCTGTGTTGACTTCTTTGAATGGGAATTCACTGCTCTTTCCCAGTCTCTAAGTGCGTTAGAGGAGGATATGGTATGTGGGTGTTCTGGACCTAACACATTACGGCGGAGTTCTACAC